TAAAAATGTATGTTAAATACTTCTTTCCAATTTTAGGACATCAGTAAGCTTATAGTTAACATAACTAGAAAAATGTAAATTTGGCTCTTAGTAAAGTTTCGCTTTGTGCTACCCGAATTCCCTGAAATGGTCGCCAGTTAGTTTCGGTAACAACCAGAACTCAAATATCAAATTTCAACAAATTCCATCAATTCGTTCCGTAGATATGGTGAAAAATGTAAAATCGGCCATATTGATCTGCTGATCAGTTTTCAAACCCTGATCTTTCCAAAAACTTTATATGTTGATAGTTCCAATACGAAGAATTTAAATATTAAATTTCAATGAAATCGGTTGATTATTTCTCTTTATATACGCAAAAATGTATATTTGGCCCGTATTAAACGTCCAGTTGTTGACACCTGATTTCTTTCAAAAGTTAGGAGGTTTCGCGGACGACCGAGCGGAGCTTATATATGAATTTTTAAATAAATTGGTTGAATATTTTCTTCAAAATTGTCAAAAATGTAAAACAGGCCCACTAAAAAGTGCAGTTCCCGAGGCCTGATATATTCCAAAAGTTGATCAATCCGGCCAATGGTCGAAATAAACTTACATATAAAATTTCATCAAAATCGGTTAAGCCGAACTTGAGATACACTCGTGCACACACAGACTGACAGACGGACACTTCCACTTTATTTACACTTCCCTACCATGGAGAAATGCATTCCCACCGAAAACTCGATACGCAAAATTTGTTGCCATCACATCACCTACCTATTGTTTACACAATACGGTTGGTAAAAATCTATAAATAGTGATGTTTGTTATATAAAGATTTCAGTGTTTTACATTAAAAAGTTACATTAAAAACTAAAAAAATTTTATATTTTATAAATAATAATAAAAAGAAACTTGAACAACTATTGTATTCTAGTTTATTTTAAAAATATATACTCGTATACTTACATACTCGTATATTAAAATATAATTTTTTTACTTTTTTTATTAAAAACTTCACATTTTCGGATCATCCAAGTACGATTGTAAGTATCATACAAGTGCGATAAAAAATAAATGTTTTTTTATTAAGAAATAAAAGAAAAGATTTCCAAAAACAGAATGAGAATGTTCATGATTGAGATAAAAAATTTTCATGACTCATGTGGGATAAAAAAAATTTAAATAGTCAATTAATAAAGTTGAGTCAAACTAATGGTATGTAATGTAGCACTTTTCCCTTCAACAAGTAAAAATATTGCTTTCAAAAACAATCTACTTACTACACTATTAAAATTACTTTCATTAATACACGAAACTATTTCAAGGATTGCACACATTTGAATACAATGAACAATTTATGCAGTCTTTGAAATAAAGCAAAAATGTTAACATCTCTTTATTTAATATTCAATTTTATATATTTTTATTCAATTTAATATATTATTGTTACTTTATTTAATATTCAATTTTATAATATTATATATTATTACAATTGAGGAAGAGGAGGTGGAAGAAATTTTTCTTCTAACTATTAATAAACTCTTTATTAATAAATAAAAGCTATTAAAATTTCAGATTTTTGCTCCCTAGGGTCCAGAAGAAAAACGCCATCAAAAATTTGGGAAAACGGGATTTCAGATAACGGCCATTTTGTTTATTTAAAGTTGAAATATGGTATGAACTACATTTTCACTACTTTTTTTTTCTTTGCAGAATTTAAAAAATGTTTCTCGGTGGAGGAGGGGTATAACTTTTAGAGGTCTGTAGAAATAAGTTTTTAGTAAAGATCTATGTATTTATGAAATTTCAGCTCTCTATCTTCAAGGATGTAGAAGTTTTGTAAATATGTCCACGGACGGGCGGACAGACAGAGTGACACTAATAAATACTTTTTTTCAAAAATTTTTTGGAGAAGTGCTAAAAAAATAAATATTGTCAATCATCCATTGATAAATATATTTTTAAATTTTATGTACTTAATTAAAAATTAAAAAAGAAGAAAAGAAGGAAAAAAATTCAAAGGAGTGAATGATTCAATTATAAAAGCGTAAAGAGTAAAGTGATAAGAAAAAATATTTAAAATTTTTTTCTTAACCAAATTCAATAAATAAGAAATGCAAAAATTGTTAAAGATTTAGTACATCGGTAACAAGTAGGTATATCCATAAAAATTAATACTAGCAAGAAAACTTTTAATTGCATCCACCTACTTAATTAGTTTACATTCACTTTGATACACATGAGATGTGGAACCACCAGGTGGCGTACTATGTAAAAATGCGGAACTTGCAAATTTGCGTAAGTTAATTTGCGATTCGCAAGTGTTTTTAATACTATGTACCAAAATCGCATCTCAAAAAATTTAAACTGGCATGGCAGCATTTTCTAATTTTTTTTTTTATAAGTAGTTCTGACAGTTTTTCAACATTTTAACTATTTTAAAATAGTTAAAAATTTAAATAAGCATTTAAGGAAGCGTTTATTGTTAATTTTTTGAAAAAATATGGACTACAAAATATTTTTAGCAGGTAGGTTAAGATTTGAATATTGCTCCTGCTCAGCAAACCATTTCACTTAGTAAACCTAAGTTAAAAGTTATAGGAAAAAGTTAACGTTGTGAGGCTATAGAAAAAAGTTAAGTCCCATAAAAATAAAACTAGAAAGGAGCAATGTTGAGGAAAAAGATAAATTTAGTCACATTTTGAGACTATGTTTAAGCCACATTTTATTGCAGTTAACACATTATGAGCGGGCGGCCTATCATGGACAACAATGTTGCGTAGCGGGCGAATATACAATGTGTACATCCGGATACATAAAAAGTTTGAGGGCCCTATTACTTAAAAATAACAAGTTTTTAAAAAAAATATAAGAATAAAAAAATATCCAGAATTTTGTGGGTTAGTTTTAGGTGGATTGCTAAAATCCGCGTAATTTTATGAAGGTCTGGGGTATTTTATCATTTGTTTTTATAAAAATATAAGAATAAAGAAAGTTAACGAAATAAGAAAAACACATAATGAAATGTACATTTCAAAAATATTTAGATAATGTTATAAACATAGAACAATAATTAAAAATATAAGAATAAAAAAACACATAATGAATTGTTCATTTTAAACGCTTGTGTCGTTATGGGTAAAAACGAAATGAAAGGCTGAAAGAAATTATTATAAGACCTTTGTGTATAAAAAAATAAACTAAAGCGGACGACCAAATATTTTATCAATCAGTCGCATCATTATCAATACATCATTAAATGAAATACATCTAATTTTTTCAACGTTTAGGTTTAATTTTTCTAGTTCATTCCTCGACTGTGTTACCGACAACATAAATAAGAGCATCATCAGCAAATAGAGCCAGGTCGAACAGTTGAATTACTTTTTCGATTTCGTTTACATACATACATTAAAAAAAGTAGTACATCCAAAATTTTCAACCCCTAACGTTATGTCAAATGCTTCTTACACTGCGTTTAAGCCTTGTTCTTTGCTCACTTTCTTTCAAATACGACTCGAACGATTTTTTTTCATTATGATTGACAGCATACATTTCAAATTTTTCAATTAAAATATTCTGGTTAACAGTTTCAAATGCCCTCCTCAAATAAAGAAAGACTGCAAGTATTTATTACCTTTTTACTATTTACTGCAATTTTCCAATTAGTTACAACTAGATTCGCAGCTGTGAATTTTTACTGAATCTATACTGGTATTGCGAAATCAATGATTTTTTTTCTAAAAGGGATTATTTTAAGTTGGAAACTTACAACACTGTGCATTTTACAATAGTTAAATGTAACATTTAAATAGAGTCAACACAATAGTCATACATTTAAATGTATATTAAGGAGGTGCTAATTGTTAATTTTTATAAAAAAATATGATTTATAAAATATTTTTAGCTGTAAGGTTAAAATTTAAATATTAGAAAGCAGAAAAGAGAAGCGACAAAAATTTGGCATAATGCATGAATTTTACCATTATCGTAAATTGGGATGGTTTTGTATTTTATGTAGGCCTACTTATAATTATAATTATTAATTACAAAAATTTAGTTAAATGCAGTAAACTTAAAATGCAAGTTGTTTTAATTTAATAAAGCAAAAAAAAAAATGTAACACTTGTTTAGTTTTATTTTTTCAAAAACTTGGACTTTCACAATAAGATTAGTAAACAAAATGGCAAGTGAATGAAAAGTATCTGAAAGTAGCATTTTGTTGTTCTGACTTTGCTACTTTCGCATACGCAAATTTGCGATATTTGGTTGACATAGTGTCGAAATTTTAGATTCAGAAATCGTTTAGCGAAAGTAGACCACCAGGGATTTTTCAAAACTGAAATTTTTACAATCTGGATCCTGCACCAACCAGCTTTTACTTTTTTTAATTAAATTACTAAAAAAATATGAAAAGTTGTGGCACCAAAATTCAAAAGACTTATAAACTGTACTAATAAAGGTAATGAGTTCATTATAAAAAAAGTAAAAATGGTTGGCCCTGAAAAATGGAAAATGTTATTGATATTTAATAAATTTTTTAATAAAATTATGTAGGTACCTACCTACATTTATTTGGAATATTGTAAGAGCATTTACAAGCTAGACAAAAACAAATAAGATCCAATACCTAAACTTTAAACTTATTTTCAAAAACTTTAGATATTAATTTTGTCCTGTTAAATGTAATATGCAGGTGAAGGTAATTCGCAAAAACTGGTTATTGTTTGTCTAACAAAGTGTTCATTAACAAATAAAAATTTTCATAAAACCTCTTCTAAAGGTATCTCGAAAAATTTTGAGCTCTTCACCCAGTATAATGTAAGTATGTAAACACTTCTTAATAAAAGTTTTAACCATTTGCAATTATTTAAACATAATATCATACGATATTGAATTCTTTATGGAATCAGCTGCCGCCTGGTTTGGCTGGCAGGCATTCATAAATTATTTTTAATATTAATACCAGATTTTACATTCTACTGTAATATAATAAGGAAAAATAAACCACCTACCATCGAAATTTTTTTTATACAAAATTCCTTTCGTTGTATGTCTAGTTTGTATTACAACTCCTCTAATGTGGGATTCTTATATACATTCTAGTTTGTATTACAACTCCTCTAACGTGGATTTCTTATATACATAATATGTTTGCATATTTTTCTTAATCCAAAAACAAAAAAAACATATAAACAAACAATGAAAATCAAAAAAAATTAAAAGACCAAAAGAAAGGAAAAAATACATAAGGCAATAAAAAAGAGGCAAAATTTTCAGTTCTTTTTTTTTATTCCACTTCGTAATTTTGTTTTTATTTTTTTTCTTTCTTAAATTTTTAAGTTAAAAAAGCTATTTATGTATAAGGAAACTGTCATTTTCATTTTAAATTAATAAAAATTTTTACATTATTTTTCACACTAAAACAAAAGCTATTGCGAATTAATTTCAAAAAATATTGTGCTCCACGTTACTGAATTTTAAAGAGAAATTTGAAACTATTTTTTTGTAAAATTTTTGATTTTTCCACCAAAAATTATTTTTTGTTTATCTTTTTTTTTTCATTAAAAGAAGCACTAAAAAGCAAATAATTTCACAGACGGCGACGCAAAAAAAAATAAATGATAAATACGACACAGCGACACTTTTATGAACCAAAAAAAATCCTTTATTTGAGTGTGTGTAGCGTAAATACGATTTTAAAGCGTCACAGCTTGAAAAAAAAATTTTTTCTTTCTTTTCACTTTCTTTTTAATACATAATAAAATATATTCCAGTTGTATTTTTTATTTCAATATTTTTAATTTTTACGCTTTTTTGCATATTTATTGAATTTTATGAAATTTTTAGTACAAAAATAAGAAAATAAATTACTGCATGCATAAAAGTCGCAACACTTCCGAAATTAATTGTTTTAAATTGTGCTCTGCCGCTGTTTTCTGACTGAAAGTAAATGCATTACTACATTTATTCTGCTTTTGGTTTGGTGGTGGTCGTGTCGTGGCATATAAATCATTTTTTTTACACTACACATAGATGCACATTCATATTACACTGTACACATATAGTTTTATAAATAAAAAAACAGTTAAAAACAAAGTAAAATTTCAAATTCAATAATGAAATTGTAGCGCATGATAATAAAACAACTACTATACACATTTCATATTATTATCATCAACAATATGAGAACATACTACATTACTGTAAGTATATGATCAGAAAAATTACGGCATCATGCGAGAAAAAAACTATTCTATGTACTTAACTAAGAGAAGCACCAGCAGAACTACTCAAATCCATAGTTGTCAACTCACAACACAATCAGTGTTAGGATATTATCATTTTTAATGCCAAATTTGGCATAATGAATTGTAGTTTTGGTTTGAGTTTTCAAAAAATTATGCTAAGTGCATTTTTGACATAATCACATTTAAAAATCTTTGAAAAAAAAAGTTCTAAAGATTTTATTTTTAGAGACAGTTTTCATTGTGTGATATAAGTATGGCATCTTTTTTGTTCATCAATTGGCACTGATTCAAATCTTGTAAATATACTATTTATTTTGAATATTAAAACAAAAAACATGATATTATTTATTTACATATCTATAGGTTGTTAGTTTAATAAAATAAATTTTTTTTTGATTAAATTCCTTTAATTTACTAAATTTTTTTTGAATTTGGCATAAAATGGGACTGTATTTTGCCTAATCAAACACAATTTACTCCATCAAATATCCCAACACTGTTTACCAACGATACTTATTTGTTTTTTTACTCTGCACTTCGTGAAGGGTATATTCACTTTGGTATGGAGTTTGTAACCACTTGAAGGAGTCGTCTACGGTATGTACATGTATATATATTCTTGCTCAGCGTAAAATTCTGCGTTGATTTAGACATACCCGTCCGTCCGTCCGATCGCACGATAACTTTAAAACGAATAATTTAATCGACACTAAACTTTCATAGTTGTTTCTTTTGTGCCAACGACGGCTGCTATTGTAATTAGACAGATTCGGAAAACTGGTTCGGGTAGCTGCAAAACAACTCAAAGAAATTGTTTTTAATATTTTAAAAACTAATTGTGTGTCCAATTTTGTTCTACATATATTCTGAAAGTTTTAATGGAACGGCTGCACTGGTTCGGGGAACTGCTATACAACTCCGGAAGCTAACCAATTTTGTTCTACATATATTCTGAAAGTTTTAATGGAACGGCTGCAGTGGTTCGGGGAACTGCTATACAACTCCGGAAGCTAACTTTAAATATTTGGAAAAATAATAAAGGTGAATTCATGAAACTCGGCAAGTGTGTGTCCAATTTTAGGTCAAATATATGTCTGAAGTTTTGATGGAATTGCTTGACAGGGTCGAGTAGCTGCCATACAACTCCGAAAGTTATTATTAAATATTTGGAAAAATATTAAAATTAGATTCATAAAAATCGGCAGTCGTGGATACATTTCTGATGTTTTGGCGGAATGACTTGACAGGTTCGAGTAGCTGTCATACAACTCCAAAAAATTTTTTTAAGTATTTGGAAAAATATTAAGGCTAGATTCATGAAACTCGGCCGTCTTGTGTCTACTTATAGGTCAGATATAAAATCCGCGAAGCTTCTATTGAGTGATTTGACAGGTTCAAATAATTGCCATTTAGCAATCAAAGTTATTTCTAAATATTTCAAAAACAAATTTTTAAACTCAGATTGTCAAAGTGCAGGGTATTATTCAGGCTGAAACGTTTTTACTTGTTTTTAACTAATATTAGTTAATTATGAAATCAAAGTGCTAAAAAGAATAAAAATTATCTAAAAAAAATATATACCTATATTTACTACAAGTTTCTCTAAAGGTGAATTTGATGGTTTGTCGGTTTTAAACTGAGCTATTCCAAATCAAACTAATTTTTCTCTTCGTAAGTCTAAAATAAACTGAGCGAAATTTATTGAATTTTATTTAACATTTTTATGACAATAATATGTTATTTTAGAAAATATCAGTATAAGTTGAAAACAGAAATTGAGCGATTTTCCGACGTTAAATGTGAGAATTCACATAGAATACACATATTTATATAGGATTGCGAAGAATCAAGCGAAATTACCGCAGCGAATTGAACCGGCAGTGGTAAAATAGCCTAGATTCCTATTTTACCACTGGCGAGTTTTTTTGGCATTTATTTATTTAAATTTTTTTTTGCGTCATTATATGCAAAATGCTGTATAAATGATTTTGTCATTCCGATCTTGCTCTGAATAACAACGGAAATCGTTTTTAGTTACCTTTACTGCTTGCTCTGAATTAATAACTTTTACAATGAAACTAACACAAAATCATCAGTTTCATATAAAAATTTTCATACAAAATACATCACTTTTTCACGAAACCAAAAGAATCAATGAATCAAATTAGGAAAATATATATCTCGATGATCTTTACGTTAACTACGAAAAAGGCTTGTAAAAGATTTCAGTCAAATCAGAAATATCCTTTAAGGATTTAATAACTGAACAAACGCACAAAATTTTATTTGGCTACCTTTCTATAAATGAAGACATCTCAAAATAATACACATTAAAAGACGGAAATTTCAGCATTTAAATCATTAATAAAAAAGTTTTAGAAAATGATTCGTAACAAAAAAAAATAAATATTAATGATAAAATGTAAACATCAACTTACCGTTAAAATAGGTTTTTCTCGTTCTAATTAATTTACCGTTATCCGACTTATGATACATCGGATTTTACAAGTTATTATAAATTAAAATAAACTGCTGAGTATCTTCAGAATGTTCACACATAATTACTGCTCCTTTTTTTTTATTTTTTCAGTTATATTAAAAATTTTAAAGTTTTCAATTCTGAATCAATTCCAGTAATTCCGAATTCTGTAGCAAATGGAAAATAAAATAAGTTTTTTTTTAATGACTAATTTACAATAATAAAACGACTAATTTAAAGTTAAAAAATTTTTTTTGCTTACTTTTTACCCAATTCAACAATTGTTCAATATTACAACAAAAAATAACATTTTAATGAGCTTTAAGGATTAAAAGTTTTAAGGGCGTTGAAGATATAGGGAACAATTTTCTTCTATAGAATAGTTTTTTTCCACAATTTTAATAGATAGAATCCAAATTGCTATCTTAAAGATTACAGAAGTTTTGTAAACGGACACATGACAATCAAATCGACTATTGAAAATGTTTCAAAAATTCGTGTTTAAATAATAGATTTTCAAATTCTTATCACAGTAATTTTGCAGTCTATACACATCCATACATACATTCATATGTAAATAGTTCCTCATAACAAAATTACCGTATTTTAATTAACGCACATAAAAAATAACGAGGCACAATAAATGTGAATGTATGTATAAAAGTTTGCACATTTACTGCACACAGTTTAATTTGTAGTGCATCTGAACTACATTTTATTACTACATATTTAAAAAAAAATCAAGAACTCATAAATATTTTTCCATACCTTTTTTTTAATTTCATAAAAAGGTTGTGATGTTAATTTAAATTGTTTAAAAAAAAACAATTGTTTATTTAAATTTATAATTTAATTTGAATTTATAAATAATTTAATTTTAATTTATAAACAAATAATCCGATTCTGATCGATTCTTTTTATTTACACACACACGACGGCGACAACAATTCTTTTTTACTTTCCTTGTCATAAAATTTTTGAACAGGATTCAAATTTTTCAGGGTTGGCAGGCATACAAAATATTACGATTTACGATATTAAAATTTTGTTCTTATATCGTTAATCTCTCATTGAAGTAATTAGTTTAAAAAAAATACAACACAAGTCTAAAAGAAGTACAACGAATTCATTAGTTACATAAAGTAAGTGTGTAATTTTAAAAGTATAATTTTTTGAATAGGTGTAAAGTATGTACCTAAAGAAAAATTTTATTATGTGCGCACGATAATTCGGTGACTGTGGAAACTGTGTACTACTTTTATTTTTACGATATTTCGAAAATATAGTTAAAATTTTGTTACAATATATATCGTCAAGAGACATATTGCAATATTTGCACAAACTTATTTTGAATACCACCGAGCCATCTTCGCGATTGGATAAATAAAGTGTTAAAAATTGTTATTACTCTTATTACATGCTATTGTAATTTATGGTAATGTTATAAGATAAAAATAAACAAGATACATATTTTATACGATAACTAAACTTATCGTCTTTTAATGATATCAAGGTACGTGCATCCCTACTAAGAGCTCAATATGTATCCCTTAGAAACATTTGCTTTTGTTTTCTTTGTTATATTTGTATAGCGAAAACAAAAGAACACTACACACCGTTAACCAAAAACTGGAATGCTTTAGAATAGTTATCATATTACTTTGGGTTGTAATTTTTTGGTGAAAAATATTTCAGAATATGTAGTTTAAGTATTTATGTAAGTTGAAATAAAAAGTTGTAATTTTAATGATATTACTGAAACTAAATAGATTCAAAATATTTTTCATCATTTTTTTTTAACTTGCCGGGGAACAAATACATAATAGAATTTAAGGTTGGGAGAAAGCAACAATAAAAATTCTTAGAAGCAGGCTGAGACTGTTGTACATTGAGAATATAAAGTAAATACCCATCATCATGACTATGCTTAGTGGGAGGTTTTCAACTTATCCGAAGCTACAGAAATTTGTTTTATCGAACAAATACCTACAACAGTTACAATATCAATAATTTACGAGCAATGAGCATAATTAATTTATGTAGTATATGCTTGCTACATAATATGATATTAGGGTGAATATGTATAAGAAATATTTAATGAAATTTTAAGAGGTGAAAAGTGAAATAGCAATAGCATTTTTCAACACAATAGTTTTTTATTCGTGGTTCTAAATGTTGTAGCTTTACAATATTTGGAACCACAAAATATTTGGTATATTTTGTGTAATTATCATAAAAGTATATCTACTCAATAAGTAGTTCGACTCTCCGTTTACATCGCACTAATTCAAACACTTAACAATATTTGCATACGAAAAATTACCTTTGCTTAAAGAGTTAAACATTATACCTTGTTATTTTCACTTTTATACACATAGTAATTTTTGGGAGAGAGAAAGAGTACGCAATAGATGTCTACGCAATAAATGTTTTTTTGTTATGTATTTTTAAAAGCGGTAGCTTTTAATTTTTTCGTATTTTAAGTTTAGGAAAAAATATTAAGAATTTTAAAAGCAAGAGTTCATTTCTACAATTCATTCCATTACAAAGTGGAAATAACGGTGTTATATACAATACAACAATACATGAAATTTTAAACTGATATCCATTGCTTTCATACATTCGAATTTTTTTACCTAACTTTAATTTGTTGTTATCACCATAAAAATAACCAAATTTTTACTAAACATTATTTACACTCGTTGTTTATAATATTTGTTTATAATATTTTGCTTCTTCCTTGCCTGCATAACTCTTATTACGATCTATTCTAAATAAAAATGGAATATTTTGAGAATTTGGAAGTGACAAGCAAACGAAAACTCACGGAATAGAATGTGTCGAACTACTTTTTTATAGATATAATTTGATATATACTTTGATTTGTAACAAAAGTAATAAAAACAAAAAAGAGAATTAGAAAGCAAGCTGTTGCTTTTCTACTACATATGAAGTTTTCACTTAACGTGATAACGTAAAATAAATTCACAATAGTTTTTAGGAGTGTAACTCTAATTGAATGAAATTATAAATTGATATTGATTTTATTTTGACTCCCTGTTATATATTCATATATGATAATAATATATGCTCTTAAAACAAGAGTAATTTCATTAAATTTAATTTTAATTTAATTATATTTATATATTTTATACTAATAGATTTTCTAGGATATTAATTAAATACCGTAATAATCGATTGCTTAATTTCTCTCTCTGATTTAATTCCATATGGAATTATAATTATTTAATTCCATATGGATGAACTATATGGTTCATCCATTAGGTTTAGCATTTAATAAAAGGCTTATCTCTTAAAATGAGAATTTTTCAACCGTTTGCTCGCTTTAATTATAGTAATGTGTTCGTTTTTGTTTACAAAATTTTATTTTTGAAATTTGTTACTGTCAATTTATAATTCAATTTTTTAATTCTTTTGTTGATCGAATCTTTTTTTTTACTGGTCGAACTTTTGACAAATAAAAAGTTTTCTCTATTCACAGTTTTCCCTAACAAATTGTTAAACATGTTAATGGCTACCTTCACATTAATCTTCTTCCCAAAAAAATTTTTTTTGAATCTGTTTTATTTCCACATTGTTCATTAAAAAGCAGATTCTTTTTTGTATGTACATATGTGTATTTGAAATAAAATTTTAAAGAGAGACGAATATAAAATAAAAGCGGATGATCTACAAAGTTGGCGATAAAAAAAATAAAAAAAGTCATACATATTTCTTCCATTATAGATATATACTTTTTTATTTGCCTAATTCTGATATAAAGAATTGTACAAATTTGAATATATGTATAGTTAATAATAAGTATCAGCATTTCATTTTTTCTGAACTCTCCATTTCTGGATTTTCTGGTAAATTAGTTTAGATACGCAAAAATCTTTGCTGGCATATAATGTACATGTGTTATGAATGGTATACTGATTTTAAAAATTTTTACCTTTTTTGTAAAATCACATTTTATATTCTAAAAACACAATTTCTTTTTTATTTTTTCTTTGTATTGTTAAAAAAACAATACTTTCGTGTTGTTTTTCCACTTGATATTGCATTTCATGAGTAAATGACAAAAAAAAGGAAATGAAAAATTTTTCTTTGGTTAGTAGATTTGAATGTTAACCTCAAAAAAAAATTGGAATTCAAAGAAGAAGACAGAAATTTCATAACTACAAAACTATGAACCGTAGTATGAAAATTCAAGTGAAGAAAGACTAAGTGTGGAAAAACGAAATTAAAATAAGAGCCAAACTATTGTGCCAAATTATTTAGTCATTTGTTTCATTTAATTTGAAGGGTATTATTATGACACATTTAAAATAAATGTCAGAAATTGAAAATCGATTATTATTTTCATGACTAATTTATCCATCAGACTCAGTTATTCATTTGCTGTTACAACATTGAATAGCTGTCAGGTATTGTTATTTACATTTTTGTCGTCAAATTTTCTTTTATATTACGTTGATTGAAAAATCGTAGCTTGTTGCGTAAGAGAAAATTTTGGTTATAAAATATTTTTTTTTAGTGTCTTTACACGAATTGGTTTAAAACAATTTTTAATTTTAAAATATTTTAAACAGAATATTTACATAAGGGAATAATGGCTGCTCGTCGTATTACTGCATCTTCAATCAACTGGTCTTCTTTGGCAGAACGTGTTCCACCAAATCAAAAATCTAATTTTCAAGCCTTTAAATCCAAATCTGATGTTTATTTAAGAAGGTAATTTAAGGATATTTATTAATTTTAAAAAGGTTAAAATTTGTTCTTTAATCAAAAAATTATTTTTGTCCTTTTACTATCTTTAAAAAACCAAAATTCATATTTAATTACTTAAATCAGAAATAATCATTCGGTTTTATTATATTTTTTTCTTTCTTATGGCAGTTCTAATCCAAATTAATTTTATAAAAAACACCATAACTTTTATTTCATTAAAAGTTAAATTTTATCGAATACATAATTAAATGATAATTTGCTTCAGCATTCTAGTATTAAAAAAAATTTTTTTAAAATTGGAGTGTAATAATACTTGATAAAAATTTAATTAACAACCAATGAAGAACATTACAGCCAAAAGAATGGCAGACACAATCAGCATATAATTTAAATGAAATCTCTACAATTAGGAATTGACTCGAAAATATTCATTAAAGCAAAATTTTTAATTAATTGAAAATTTCTTATAAACAAATATGACTAATTTATTAATGAAAATTGTATTACTGAATAAATATAGTTTACTTGGGGTCTCAAATGACATAGAGACCCTTATATTTTTGATTCAACTAAATTTTTCAAATAGTCATAGTATAACATTTAAGTGTGTAGGTGGTAGGTTACCTATCTACATACAAAATTAGTATTTTAATTTATTTTTAGATGTCTAAAACGCGCTGGTTATTAACAAATTATATAAGAATGTTTTTTAATACCACTATAATTTTATTATATATTTTTTTCTGTAGTGTAATTGCTAACCCTGAAGAAGCACCTAAAATTGATTGGGCTTATTATAAAAAGCTAATACCAATACCCGGTCTTGTTGATAAATTTCAATCAAGTTACGATGCTTTAAAAGTACCATACCCAACTGAAAATTTAACACCACAAATTGAAGTTCAAGCTAAAGAAACAAAAGCTGAGATTGAAAGATTTATTAAATCTTCAAATGATAGAATTACTGAGTATAATAAGAAAATTGCCCACTTAAAATCGTTGTTACCATATGATCAAATGACGATGGAAGATTATCGTGAAGCATTTCCAGATGAAGCTTTAGATCCAATCAATCGTCCAACATTTTGGCCACATTTACCAGAAGATCAGCTTGGTTATAAACCAAAAGATGCACCCCCATCTGACCATTAGTTTAAATAAATAGCGTTTTTACTGTTTTCAATTGTAAATATAAATTTGCAACCTGCTTAAATTACAAACATATTTCAAATTGTAACCATTTACTATCTATAATCGCCAGAACAAAATCATTTAAGTTGTTTATAAACAATAAAGGAAACTTGATGGAAATATTTAGAAATGAAAAAATCTAAGTCATGGAAATTTGAAAAATTTACTTAAATACATTTTGTTCAGTGAGCTTAGATAATTGTTTTACAAAATTTTTTTTGAAAAATTTAAAAAATGAAGATTAAAGTGAAACACTTAAGAAAGTAGATAAAATATAAAAACTTAATTTGTGTTTTTATTTTACCAGAAAATTTTAAATTATCCACTAAACTCATTATCTTCCGACGTTTAGTAATTAAATGGTAACTGAACTTTGGAAATTTTAGAAAATGTGGCATACATATTACGAAAAAATTCTTGTCACTTGAAAATTAAACTACATTTATATATAATATGACACTTCTCACACAGTGAAAAAAAGTGCGATATACAGGGTGTTTTCGCATAAGGTGGAAAATAATTTCAGGGACAATTCTTTGATCATTTTCCAGCAAAAAATTATATGGTCTATAAAATTAATGAGGTCCTATTAATAGAAAACTTAAAAATTATATATAAATCAAATTACTTATACTTTTTTGCTCTAGCTCTGGAAAGTATGGCTTTGCATTTTTAACTTTTATCGAAGCTGCAATTTTGCTTTTTTTCTCTTAAATTTTTATCTAGAAAAAGGTTATAAATTTTACAAGACTGGATGTGTGATGAAAATATATACATGTACAAGATGTGTATATGTATATATTTACATATCTGATTGAGTTTAGCATGTATTAAAGTGTATGAAAACGGTGTCCTATTTAATATTTATTACTACTGTATGCATGTAATACATTAATTAAAAGAATTCGATAATTCTACGTTTGTATGTAAGTATCTTCATTTGCTTCATTATTTCAGTTTTATGGTTTCTCAGTTCTTTTATTTTTTGTTTTTCTATTATTACAAAGAAAATTCATCCAGGAAATACATACATATATATATATATATATATATATATATATATATATACATATATATATATATATATATATATACATATACATATACATATATATATATATATATACATATACATATATATATAAATATATATATATATGCTTATATGTACATATGCATATTTTGATTGGTATATAGCTCGTTTGCTATTATTGTTCTTTGTGTATTTTTATGAAAAAAAAATGTTAATATTAAAAAATATGGGACAATTTTAATTAACTTGAAAACAGTTGTTTCTTTTGGTTATATTAAAACGTGAGAGGAAAAAATTAAATAAATATATATATAAAATAAAGAAAAACAAGAATCAAAATAAAAGGATATTTTAGTCCTATATAGGTACTCATATGTACGGATCATTCTACGGAAACTTGCCAAAAGTGAATAAAATTTTGCATAAAAAAAATGTGTTTTTTCTGATTAACAATAAGCTTTAAATGGTTACTTATAGCATTTTAAAACTTTTTGCTAAGGGGTTCACCTTATTTTTTTCAATTTCAAAAAAATCATAATGAAATTGAAAAATTTTTAAACACGCTAATGACAAGGATGCCACGAAAATGACATACATATCAATTTATTAAATTTTTATTTTATTTTAAATCATTTTATAAAAAGAAAAATTTTGCTAACATAAAAGGAACTTTTTAAATCACAAATTCAAATAAATTTGAAAACAATGAACAAAAAAAAACAAAGGTGGCACGAAAAAATAAATATTTAAAAACAAAACTTATTAAAAAAAAAAATTTAAACTTTAAACTATACAACTACAAAATTTGATATAAATACATATATAATACGTAAAAATATTTCACATAATCAAATAGAAAAATTTAAAATAAAAGGTAACTAAATTTAGAGTTCATATACTGGTAATTTTTCCTGAAATTCAAAAATTTGCTTATTATCACTATATACGGTATATATGTACATTTTGGACTTTTTTAGAATTTTTAATATTTGTTTTTCCTTCTTCTTTTCTTTCCTTTTTTTTCGTCTTGTGTTTTGGGAATTAGCACTTTTTATACCCTGCACTTCGTGAGGGGTATACTAACTTTGGTATAGAGTTTTTAACTACTTGAAGGAGTCATCTGCGGTATGGACATATATATATATATATATTCTTTCTCAGCGTAAAATTATGCATTGATTCAGACATGTTCGTCCGTCCGTCCGATCGCATGATAACTCAAAAACGAATAATCTAATCGACACCAAACTTTCACAAATGGTTTCTTTTGTGCCAAGGACGAACCCTATTGTAATTGGACTAATTCGGAAAACGGGTTCGGGTAGCTGCCACACAACTCAAGGAGTTTATTTTAAATATTTCAAAAACTAATAAAGTTATAATTATAAAATTTTGTATACATGTGTCCAATTATATTCTACACATGCTCTAAAATTTAATGGGATTTTAATGGGATAGCTGCACCGGTTTGGGTGGCTGCCATAAAACTCCAAAAGCAAATTTTTTATATTCGGCAAAATAATAGAGTCAGATTCATGAAACTTGGCAGTAATGTATCCAATTATAGGTCAGACATATTATATGTTTGTAAAAATAATAAAGTCAGATTCATGGAACTTGGCAGTTGTGTGTCCAGTTATAAGTCAGACATATGCGTGAAATTTCTATAGAATGGGTTCCAGGTTTGAGTAATTTCTATACAACAACGAAAGGTGCAGGGTATAATTCAATCGGTTTGAGGGTCACTATTTATATTTCGGGTCTAGCAACAAAAAACAAACATTTATCATTGGAAATGGTTTTATTGTTTTTCAAAATATTCCCCATGAAGATCAATACACTTTTGCATGCGCTGAAACCAATTTTCGTAGCACTTTTTCCACTCCGATTGAGACACCTCCAAAACATGGTTTTTGAACGCATCGACTGCTTCTTCAGGTGTTGAAAATCGTTGTCCACGCATTTTTTTTTTGATGTGAGGGAATAAGAAGAAGTCATTGGGTGCTAAATCAGGACTGTACGGCGGATGACCCATCAATTCGACATTTTGAGTGCTCAAATAGTCCATTGTTTCAGCTGATTTGTGAGAGCTTGCATTGTCATGATGAAGAATGATTCGCCGGCGCTTGTTTGTTTTCCTTATTTCTTCGAAAACTTTCGGCAAACAGATGGTGGTGTACCATTCAGAATTGACCGTCCTACGTTCCACTAAAGGTACTGTGGCCACATGACCGGTTATACCAAAAAAAAACGCGATCATTTGCTTCGATGTGCTTCTTCCACGAACAACTTTTGTTGGATTTGGCTCGTCTTGGAACACCCATACGGTCGATTGCTGTTTCGTTTCGGGCTCATATGCATAGATCCATGATTCATCACCTGTGACTATCTTATAAACGTCTTTTGACGCACCGCGATTGAATTTTTTCAACATTTCTTTGCTCCAATCGACACGAGCCTTCTTTTGTGCAATCGTCAAATTTTTTGGGATCCATCGACAACACACCTTTTTCACGGCAAGATGTTCATGCAATATCTTATGTACGCTGGTGGAACTAATGCCCAAGGATGCCTCAATCTCACAGTATGTCACATGCCGGTCCATCATTATCATTTCGCGCACAGCATCGATGGTTTCCGGCAAAACGACCGAAATTGGCCGACCTTCACGAAATTCATCCTGGACCGAACGGCGTCCGAAACCAAACTCTTGGTACCAGCGATTTACAGTGGTTTTTGATGGTGCTTCATCACCAAAAGTCGAAACAAGTTGATCGAGACACTCTTGTCTCGATAATCCGCGCCGAAAATCGTAAAAAATCATCGCACGAAAATTTTCACGGGACAATTCCATTTTTTGACCGAGATGAATTTTTCAAGTCACTGTAAACAAAACAATTCGCGCTCGAATGACAAAACGTTCTGAGTGAAGTTGTCCTAAAAAATGTCAAACTTTTCAATGGAAGTGTCAGATTGCACCTGGCAGCACTAGTATTGCCAGGACCCGAAATATAAATAGTGACCCTCGTACCGACTGAACGTTTTTACTTGTTAAAAATATTACTTTTGCTTCGAAGTGTTCTCCGTCATTGTCGGAATCTTCCAAACATTGACTAACATATCTATAAAATACGGGAGAAAATTCAATGATTTGAAATCTTAGTATTATTGTTTTCTTACTTATATTTTTGACTTTTTTGTCCAGGGAATTCTACAAGCAAGAAACATCCTTTTTTAATGTGATTCAAAGCTAGTGATGAGGTTGACGAAGTCGATGAAGATGGCGAAAAAGAATATGTACACACCATTAAAATTTAACACACAATATTATTTGGATTTGTATCATCTAAATCTATTTCAACTTCATTGTCATTGGCATATTTCATAATCCCAATGTCAAAGTGAGAATATTTATTTTGGCATTTGAAACAATTCCAAAATAAATCTTTTTTCTAATGCAGATTTTTCTTTTTTATTTTAAAGTCTTTCATTATGTTTTTGATATTTCTTAACTTAATTTTTGAGTATATCAGTTTCCTTTTCCACTTTTAATAGTTTTCTTGAACGTTACTTCCTATTTCTAGCTTGAATTCGTTTGGATATCTTAGGCTGATTATTTCTTTTGAGTTCTAGAGATTCTTCATCGCTATTTGGTGGAGTATTTAGCCTTAAGTTTTCCTTAAAATGCTGTAGATTTTTTTGTTTTTTTGTTTTCACTTTTCATATTTAAGAAGGCACGCACTGACTTTGTAAACGTAACTTCTAAATACTTATTGGTCTCTATACATCAACTTTTTGAGGCTCAAAAATTTGATCTCTTGAAAAATTAAGTTTAAATAAAGAGAGTAAGAAATTAAATAATGTGTGGCGACAAGTACAAAAACAAAAATAAACTAAAAACAAAAAGAGCATTGTGAATGTTGCATACTTTCAAAAAAACTTGTTCAATCCTGATTTCATTATAAATTACTAGAAATCAAAAATCAAATTTGGAATAACGAATTTTTAGATATTTAATTGATGTAGAAGGCTTAAAGACAGCAACGCTAATGACAAAACTTATCACAAAATTTTTATTAATGAAATAAAAAAAAAAACTTATTTTCGTGGTAATAAACGAATTAGAAATACTAAAGGAAGGAGCATTTTGAAAAAACGATGAAGCCAAATTTTTCTAGTTGTCTTTTACATGAAGTTTTTTTTCAAGATACGTTTTTTTAGTAAGTGTAAGCGTGATAGAAACAAAGATGTTC